GTGACGTTTTAGTCAGAAGCAGGGACGGATTACCTGGTAAGCAAGGTATGCACTGGCTTACTTGTGTTTACCCCCTAATCTGTAGCGCACAATTTCACATGGGTTTCACTACAAAGATCTTTGATCTTTGACGTGGTGAAAAACAGGTGAAATTGTGCGCTACAGATTAGTAAGTAAGCATAAGTAAGCTCGTGCGTACCTTACTTACGGAGTAATCCGCCCCTGGAAGAAGTATTAGCTGGCTTTCCTCCTTTCTGACCAAATGACAACAGAACATTTCCTGCTTTTACTGGATTCTTTGGTAGCTTATTGCTGCTGTTGTTGTTGTTTTTTCCTTCCAGAAACTAAGAGAACATTCAGAGTGCCCTTAAACAGAAATCAGCCTTATATCTCATAAATTGTATTTCCATGAGCTTTCTGAGGTGGAACTGCCTGGCCAATTCATTTAAAAAAGTTTCTTCAGGCTCCCCTTTATAGACAAGTCCAGTGGTGGGATTTCAGCTTTTCCCAATGATCGAATATCAGTGAGAACCACTTGTACAAGACAGATGCCCTGGTCATGTATTTATTGACCACCTACTACGTGTCTTGTGCTTCCACCCACCACACTAACTGATAATAAGGAAGTCCAATAAGCCCACAGCATGGAGAACTATTCATCTGGGCACTCTGCCAATGAATGTAATCATCATAAAACTCAGCCTCAGCCACAAAGGCAGAGAAGACTATTTTTTGTTTTTCCGCAAAAACATATACAAATACTTAAATCTCTCGTAATGCAAGTTCAAATGAGGTAAACATACTTCATGTGGGTTATGAAATCAAGGGGGTATTATAAATTACTAAATGGCTAGAAAATAAGATCTTAGTTTTTTCTTTGCTGCCTTCAGTGAGAAAAGAGAACAGGTATCCCCTGTTGAAAAGCTTATTAGCTTATTATATCATCTCATAACCTTCCCACTTCATCTTGGGTCTTATTTTTCAATTACTTCATAATCTTTACAGATTTCCTTTGAATCTTATGTCTTTTTAGTGGAGAAAACAGGAACATATTCTTCTAAAACTGAGATTAAAACTAACTGCAATTCCCATATTTTCTCCTTTCTGTTCATGCTTAGTTTTAGGCAGTCACCATAGCTGCCTTGTTGTCTCAGTGACTTACTATCTATTCTGATCCATAGACCTTTCCCTTCTGTTTTTGTAGACAACAAATCACTATGTTTTGCTTGTGAATAGCGTGTATATGTGTGTGTGTGTTTGTGTGTATAGATAGGTATCTCTGAATAAAATTACAATTACTAGTTGTAGGTATGGAGCCCTGGTGGCTCACTGGTTAAGAGCATGGCTGTTAACCAAAGGGTTATATATATATATATATATATATATACACATACATACATTTACATATATACGCACGTACAGATACATGTACATATACCTTTCTACCTACAGGTATACCCGTTGCCTTTGAGTCGATTATGACTCATAGCGACCCTATAGGACAGAGCAGAACTTCCCCATAGGGTTTCCAAGGAGCAGTTGGTGGATTAAACTTTATCATAGGTATGTATGTATAGGACAAAACATAGTATATATAGGGTTCGGTACTGGCATCCACAGGCGGTCTTGGAACATATCCCCCATGGATAAGGGGGATTAATGTATACATAGAGCCCTGGTGGTGAAGTGGTTAAGAGCTCAGGCTGCTAACCAAAAGATCAGCAGTTCGAATTCACCAGCTGCTCATTGGAAACACTGTGGGGCAGTTCTACTTTGTCCTATAGGGTCACTATGAGTCAGAATCTATTAGTTGGCAACGGGTACAGCTGTAGGTAGAAAGGTATATATACATGAATACGTACATGCATATATATGTAAATGTATATCTGGATAAGCATGTATGTGTGTATATATATGTATATATGTTTCTGCTTATAACTAGTAATTGTCAACCAAAAAATCAAGTTGGGTTTTGAATAACCATTCTCTAAATACAGCTCTAAGTGTTTCAAGATACTGGAAGCCTGTACCTTTCACCTGAACATCCTTCAGCAATGTGACAAATCATCTCTGAAAGGTCATCAGTAACTTGATTCTCTTCATTTGTTTAAAAAGAAAAAAGCAGAAGTTTTGTAGATATGCATGTAGGTAAAAGAAAATTAGGTTGCTCTATTATGTGTGTGTAATTTACTATTAATTTCTCTGAAATTTCACCCTGCTCCATTTATTAGGTGATGAGTCGGGATCGACAGTAATGGATTTATTTATTTATTTATTTTTTAAGTCATTTAACCCTTAGGGATGTTGAAAGCACACCATGAAATATAATTGATCAAGAAAGCAATGTTTGAAGGCTGCAGGACATACTGATTATTCAGGTAATTCAGTTATTTTATAAACACCAACATTATGCTTTTCTGAAAACTTTCATTACTCAAACAGAAGTGTCCACTATATAACGCAAAGAGGCAAAGAAACATCGACATTTTTAAAGATCTAGTAAAATCATGTAAATCATTGAACTTACAGCTGCTTACAGTATTCGATGTTCTAATTTGGCACGAGTTTTCTAACTGCAACTAAATATATAAATATATAAAACTTTCAGTAAAATAAGGAGAACTGTAGCACAATAGTGAAAGTGCTCAGCTGCTAACAAAAAGGTTGGTAGTTCAAACCCAACAGTTGCTCTGCAGGAGAAAAAGATGTGGCAGTCTGCTTCCCTAAAGATTTATAGCCTTGGAAATCCTATGGCACAGTTCTACCCTGTTCTATAAAGTTGCTGAGTCGGAATTAACTTCACGGCTGTGGGTTTGGTTTGATTGGTTATCTGTCATGATAGGTACTTACATTTTTTAAATATTGTATTCATATCGATTTGACTCATTGATGTACTTTTTTAAAAATAAATGCAATACGTATAATTTCTACAGGTTTTTTTTTAAACAAGAGAATATATTTTGGGAATAACTGAGTTTCAGGATATACTACTGATTTGCTTAAAGTATGCCCAGTCTCCCTGCTTTCTTTCTCTATTTTTTAACAAAATGTGTGGTAAAGCACTCTGTGAAGTCAAATTATCACAAATTTTTTAGTAGTTTACTTTCCAGAATCACCCCCTGAAATTGGAGAAAGAAATGGTGTAAGGATAGCTTTTCTAAACACTGGGCAGGCTAACAGAACCAGACTGAATGTCAGGGACGTTTCTATGAAGCTCTGTTCTCCTGAAGACAACTATAACCAAAACTAAATTCCAGACTTCTAGTAATACGTTAGGATGCTTTCAGCTTAATTTCTACACCGCTGATAAAATCGAGATGACATTCACCCTTCATAAAAGTCAAGTGTGTCCACACCATCTACAAAGGGAACTTCCACTTTCTTGATTTCACACGTTTTCAGCATAAAGTGATTTGATTAACATTGCCACTGCATTCATTTATGCGGGTAAGGCTCTCTATGACGTACTATTATTAGAATTCTGCCATTGGTTATTATTAACATTCACCAACAGATAATGATTATTTCATAAGATGAGAAGTCTTTCAAACCTTTTATGTTCCTTTGTAACCAGTGTGTTATTATTGTAAATTTGTAGAAGTATTATCATCAACCTAAGTTTTAATAGGCCAGTATAGTAATGAATGCTACTTTGACTTCCTAATTCTTGTCATTCCTCTGTTAGAGTGGTCCTTTTAGAAAGAAAACGATTAGATTACGTGCCATCAGAAGAAATCAGTCTTGGTGTTAAGTGTGCTAGAGACTGACTCATTTCTTTTGCTGAAGCCCCACCCTTTGAGTGACAGGTGGAAGCTAAAATGTCAAGAAGGAGTCCTGTTGGAACAAGTGTTTAGGATGGTGTTTAATACAGCAGGGAGCCAAGACACAGTAGTAAGACACATAGTAAAGAATGTGGAGTATGTAGATACAATAAATAATTTTGGTTTATGATCTGCCATCCTGTTATTTGAAAGAGGAGTAAGTCAGGGAAATAAATGACTCTCGGTTCTTTGTACATGCAAAGGTAAGATAGTTATTACAAAATTTTACTGTTGCATATGTGCTGGGGAGAGAAAGCATGTGTATTTAAACATTTGAAAAATAAATCACTTTTAAGAAAAATACTTTAGTTCATATTTCATTGAGCTGACCTTTTGATTCAAGATCAGGGAATCAATCTAGGATGAAAACCAAAAAAACGAAAACCAGAAATGAATCATTTACCATGAAAAAAGGTATTTCGAGTCTCAGCTAATCTCGACTAGTTTTTATTGCGTTATTCTTGAAATGCCAAGAAACTGGCTTTGGCCATAATATTTGCTGTCCAACTATCTCACAGCCGTCAGTATGCAATTGCTTGCAACAATTAGCTAAACACCACTGTTTGACATATTCCCTTGAAAGGGACGGAGATGCTATAGGTATCTAACACATACAAAATCAAGTAACAGTCAGTCAGGCTGCTGCTGCAGTACAAGGAGAGAAGTTTGTAAATCCTTGACCAAGGAAGGGGTTTCACACAGCCTTAATTTTTTAAAAAAACACATTTGTCCTGATCCTGCATGCCTTCTCCTGATTTCAGGAATAAATTGTGGCACTGGCTAAAAAGGAGGGGAAAAAGCCACCAACTCTAGATTCATCGTTAAGGATATCCGGGGAAGAAGGGGAAAAAAAAAAAAAAGAAATGCAAATACAAAATGGTAATGGCACACAACATGGAGAAGAGAAAAATAATGGAACCTGCTAGCGATTTCCACCAAAACAGCAAACCCTTGAACAAACAGAAATTCATTACAATATACACATTGATTAACAACTCCACCATTACTAGGGCTGCTGCTGAAAGCCAGAAAATTAACTACAATATTCCAAAACAGAATTCTCATAAGATTTGAGAAAAACAGAGTGAAAAGTCAATGTTAGCTAAGCTCTTAGCTAAATCCACTCTTAATGGCCCCCAGTATTTAAACTATCATGGATTAAAGCCATGAAAATAAAAATTTCAATTTGAAATTTTAGTAGCATGTTGCTAAAATGGTCAATAAAAATATCAACAGATAAGCTTTGTTGACATAGTTGGAAAACTGCTCTCTTGACTGTAAAACTTTATTTCCACTCCCCCACCTTCTAAGATTTCTATGTTAGGAAAAGCCAAACTAAATATACTGGCTATGGTGTTGTAATAATGCTGGTTTCTGGGATGTTGCCACGTCTTCCCCCTCTCTCTCCTCCAAACCCATTAAAAATATGACTATTTCTGAAGTGCTGCCCAAGGAGGGAACAATCTAGGGTTAAGAACAATTAAGTGCCCTTCTCCACACATTCAAGTTTTCAGACACCAGGTGAACTGTTTCCATTCCGGGGGCGGGGCTAGCTCTCCTCACCAAATTAGCTGCGCCATTTTCCTCGTGGGACCCGGGAAGCCTTCCCTTCTGTCAGCAAGGAAGGCTCACAAGCCAATGCGGGTGGGCGGTGGAGTTCGCTTCCCTCGGTAGAAAGAACAGGAAGCAAACACTACCTAGCTTAGCCCGGAGCCTGGAATACAATGTCAGCAGTCCTGAGGCTGGAGAGCTCGAAAAGTCCCGGGCAGCCTCAGGACAGACCGGAGTCCCCAAGTGCTTTCGTGTGGAATTATTCAGAAGTGCATAAGGGACAGGCTCAATTTCTTGGATATCCTGCAATCTGGAGACACATCCATACAGGAGCTGAACTGCTCTCTGAAAAGACCAACTATCGCCTCCGACGGGTCTCTGTGAGTGCGTTTGGGGCGGTGATGGTCCCTTTTTAGTAAGCGGTAGTTTCCCCGTCGGGTGACAGTCGCTGACCAGTGACCCGCCGGGAAAGCCATGTCGCTGCTCCCCTCAGCCCATTTCCCTCCCCCCTTACATCCTGAAGGGATACGAGCACTCTGCGCTCTTGGTCTCCCAACACAATCAACGCTATTGGGGTCTCAGCCAGGAGCGCACAGCTGTGCCCTTCCAGTTCCGGCACCAGTTCCTGAGACTTCCTGCCACTTGCCGGAGGGGTGCGAGGGTAGAGCCTGGGCACTGGTCACCGGCGGCGGGCACGCGAGGAGGGCGAGGGTTGTGAATCGCTGGCTGCGAAGCCCGCGTGCGGGAATGAGAAGGGAGCAGGGCGCGGGGAGACAGGAGGGGAAGGCGGACCCTCCGCGGCTACTCCTTGTCGTCCACGAGATCGGCAAGGTCCTGGAGCACTCGCAGGTGGCCACTGGCGTCGATGCGGCGCTTCTCGCGGATGAGGTCTTCCAGGCTGTGAAATCTGGCCGTGTGCACCTTGTTTTCCCCAAGGTGCACCTTGAGATAGTACTGCAGCTGCGCCGGCTGCGTGCCAGCCGGCACCTCCCCTCCGGCCTTGAACTCCCGCTTGCCAAAGCGGCACCAGGCGGCGAAGCTCTCTGAGTTCGTCCAGCAGATCTCCTCGCTCTTGAGGCCCAGGTGGCCGCAGGCGTTCTGCACCACCAGCTCGGCCACCAGCGGGCGGTAGCGGTACCAGCTATTCACCACCCGGCCCACGTTGGCCGCGCCCGCCTCGTACAGGCTGTCCTGGCGGATCTCGCCCTGGTGCAGGTGGATGATCTGCCCGCCGCCCACGTAGACTGCCCAGTGCGGGGCGGGCGCGGGCGGCTTCTGCGCGGGCTGCAGCCACAGCAGCTCCAGCAGGTCGCCCGGCTCGCAGAGCGCCGGCAGCGCGGAGACCGCGTAGACGCTCAGGTCGGCGCCCTGAGGGCCGCCGCTCACTTTGGAAAAGATGCATTCCTGGCCCCGAAAGGCAGAGAACTGAGTCTCGTTGAGGACCAGCTGGTGCAGCAGGTGGTGATGGTGGCGGCTGGGGCTCTCCGGACAGGGGGTGCAGCCCGGAGGCGCCTTCACACCAAACTTGTCGGGCTGGCCGCGTTCGTCCAGGTCCTCCTCCTCATCCGAGAAGAAGTAGGCGACCCCGACCCGCAGCTCGTCCTTCTCGATCCCTGATGGGTCCCCTGTGGGCAACTCGCTGTAGTTGAGGTGGGTGATGCGGTCCAGTTGGTTGCCCATCAATGACGCGGCGAGGCAAGAGCCAGGAGCCGGGATCTGCAAGAGCACAGAGAAGAGGCAGAGACACCGTCAGAGTCGGGCTACCTCTCCCATCGTCCCTCCCCAACACTTACAGTGCGCCGGGGACCTGCTCGCCCGCCCTGGCGCCCGCACTCGAGTCACCTGCGCAAACCGAGTCCCCCCTGTCTCCCCGGAGGCAGGAGGGGTGCAGAAGCAGCTACACCGTCCGGGGCGAGAGCGGAAGCCACCACAAAGCCTCCAACCCAGTCCTAGAACCCAGTCCAACTCCCACAAGAAAAAACGCAGGCAGGCGAGAGGGCGTGCAGAGTCCTAGTGGGGAGGACAGCGTGGGTTGCGACCGCGTGGTACACCGACACCCAAGAAAGGGAGAAAGCTAAGGTTGGAAGGGAGACAAGGCGCCTAAGCCACAGATCCAGGAGCAAAAGGCGCTCACATTTCTGTCCCCACCCTCTCCAGCCCACCTACCAGTTTTACACTAGGTCACACTCCTCCCCTGACAGCGCCTCGCACAATGACAGTCGGACACATTCGCAGGCACTCACTTGACACCAACAAAATTTCACACATTTGCAGTCCAGACACTGACAGGCTGGTACACTTTTGCGAATGCCACATATACATACAATGACAAACCGTCGCGACGCACACTAACACACTTAGACTCCCACATTCGCAGCCGCACGCAATTCCAGTCCCACGCTTGCACGCTCGCCGATGCATGTACACCCGAGCAGCCGGGCACACCTGTCCACACAGGAAGGTGCACTCTTGCCCCTACTCTCGCCTTCTCCCCAGCAGTCAATCCGGCTGTGCTAGGGCGAGGCTGCCCTATCTAAAATTACCTAACAAAGAGGCAACGGAAGCATGGGGAAGCCAGTGCCGGGTATGTATGGGGGGGGGATCTAATTTCAGACAAATGATCCCTCTCCCTCCTACCCAGCACAGGGTCCAAACAATTCGACCAAGAAAACCGTTTCCAAGGCAAAGAAAGCCGCCTCTCCATACCCGTGATTTCCCTGCTCCTGAAACCCCAAACTCCTTTAAAGTCTCCTGGTCCCCATGGATGCTGCGGAGGTGACCGTGGCGAGTGGGTCCGGGGCGGCGTGTGAGGCTGCAACTCCGCTCTGCCCCGCGCGGAAAGGTGCGAAGCTGTGCCCGGCGCGGTGTCCGCGCGCCCGCCCTTCCGCGCTGGCTAGAGATTCAGTTCTACCTCGGCAGTCTCAGCTCCGCTCTGCTTTCCCACAGCCTCCGGGACGACTCTTAAGTAGCGAGGACAGCCGGTTCCAGGGCCCGCCCCGGAACGCGCTCATTGGCTGGAGAGGGAGCCCAGGCCTCGTCAATCTCTGGCCAGAGGGGAGGAGAGCAGGGGAGGGTCTCCTGCACGCGCTCCGCCCCGCCCGACCCTGCCCCCGCTCGCGCTGTGGCGGGCGGAGCTTACTAGCGCCTGAACGCGCGCCACCCCCGCAAGCGTAGGTGTGGGTGCCCGCGGGGAGCGCGCGAGGGGCGGTGCGTTTCTTCATGTCGCCGCTGCGAGCTTCCTTTCGCGCTCTGCGACCGATCCTCTCCAAGCTGATAGAAACTAACACGGTCCCCGCGCCTTTCCGTGTTTCCAAACTATGGTCTCTAGCTCAGAAGCTGAGTCCGAGGGTGGAGAAGAAGCCCCAGTACTGTCCAGGTGGCTCAGGCACTGCGGGCGGCCCGGAGAGGGGAGGAATTGTCTACTGGCAGAGGCCGGCGCCTTAGCCCTCCTGTTTCCTAGACCCGGAACCTCGGGTCCCCGAGGCTCCCGCGCTGGTCCTCCGCTGGCTGACTTTTTCCTGCTGGGCAGGGACGCCTTTGAAATTGCTCCTATGACCTTTGGTTCTTCATTTGACCCAGGTGAAGTTGCTGACCCAGCAGCATTCGCGCACCGTTTAAGAGGAGCACGGTTTCAAATGCGACCTACAAGTCTGAGCCTTCCTGGCTGTGCTTAGGATTTTGGCCTCCAGATTTCTGTCTGTGAAAGAGATGAATCACAAATGTTGACAGTAGGACATAATAGTGTTTTCCAAACACCAGGACTTTCTTTGATGAGGGATTTTTGTTCGGTTTTCTGGGAGAAGGCTGTCCAGCAGAAATTAATAATTGCATTTCTGGATGGAAAGTTAATAAATGAATGTGCTCTGGATATTGGAGACTGAAAGATGGCTTTCACATATAAGAAATTCTAGATCAACAGGTTAAAAAAGTTATAGTTAAGCCACAACGAGTTCTTAGTATCTGGTTCTAATCTCATTGCTTCAGGTCTGGGCTCCAGCAGCTTGTCTATGCTGCCTACTCTCTCTGCCCAGAGTTTGCTACTTCCTCTTTGCAACCCATTGGTAGCTTGTACAAACTCTGTCAGAGCACCTACCCTTTTTTATTACAAACTTGTTCACTCACTTCCTCCTTCCAAAGTAAACTTCTTGAGGTTAGGACTGCACTCTGCACAGCTTTCTCTTCTGGGCTTCTTTCACAATGTGGGGCATGCAACATCTCAGAAATAATACAACGTGTTATGGATTGAATTGTATCCCCCCAAAATTTGTGTATCAATTTGAATAGGCCGTGATTCCCAGTACTGTGAGATTGTCCACAGTTTTGTCATCTGATAAGATTTTCCTATGTGTTGTAAATCCAATCTCCGTGATGTTAATGAGATGGGATTAGTAGCAGTTATGTTAATGAGGCAGGACTCAATCTATAAGATTAGGCTGTGTTTTAAGCCAATCTGTTTTGAAATATAAAAGAGAAAAGCAAGCAGAGAGACATGGGGACCTCATACTATCGAGAAAGCAGTGCCAGGAGAAGAGCCAGCCTTTGGACTATGGGTCTCTGTGCTGAGAACACTAGTCCAGGGGAAAGAGAAAGCCTTCCCCTGGAGCTGGCACCCTGAATTTGGACTTCTAGCCGACTAGACTGTGAGACAATAAACTTCTGGTTGTTGAAGCCATCCACTTGTGGTATTTCTGTTATAGCAGCCTAGCTGACTAAGACACAATATATCAGTGATAATAAAAATTAAAACAGCCAAGGCATTGTGCTAAGAGGTTTATGTAGAAGCTTTAATCATGACACCTCTGTAAGATGTTTACCAATATCCCCATTGTAACGATTGAGGGAACTGAGGCCCAAACACCAGTGCCAGCTGTCCATCCAAGGCCTAAGGGACTCCTGGGCCAGCTGTTAACTGGGCTGTACTTTTTGTTGAATGAATAAAATCTTGCTTCATAAACTTAGAAGACTGACGTCCCATAGAAGCTGGGTGATTGGCTCAAGGTTACAGGGATGTTGAAGCACATTATAAAATGCTTTTCTTTAGATTATTGTTCGAATGTTTTCAAACTGCAAAGTCCTCAGTTTATGTTTGCTTTCTGAAAGTCGCTGTGTGCCACACAGCATCCAAACACAGTGATTTATCAAATTAGATGCTTAATAATTATTGCTGAAAAAAATGGTTTTCAAATGACCATCTGTACACATTTGGTGTACAGAGATCTTTCCAGAAATTTAGCTATTATCCATGTACAAATTATTTGAAAACAAGCTGGCATCCTTGGAGCTGACCACAGGTTGTGATGGCCGCTTTTATACTTGCTATAAATAATAACCCATTTTGGCCCTGAAGTCAAGAGAATTAAACAAGTGACTTCAGAGATCAAGAAGTAAATTACTAGTAGTGTTATAAACTGGACTTCCGGGGTCTTTGGGGTAAGGGTATCCGCAGGGTTCATTACGGATGTCTGCTATCTGACAGGAACTAAGTTAAAGTAGTTCAGCACTTAACTCTGAATAACCTTTTTTATTTATTCATTTTTTTTAGGTCCTTTCTTCATCCTCAAGATCAAATCTTGTGCCCAAATGTTCACAGCCTATTTGCGTAGGAGGATATGGTCTCTCCTGTCTGTCCTCTCTCCTACTGCTCTGGACTGCAGTGTAAGCCAGCCACTTCTCTTTGGCTTACTCTCTCACCCACTCCAATGGATAATTAATATAAAATAGCATCAGGGCTTGGAGATACAGTGTCTAAAGTTTAAAATATCAATATGCATCTTTTTGAATCTCCTTTCCTTGTCCATCCCCTGGCTAAGATACAAAGACTTTTTCTTTAGCAATCACAGAGTAAATACTCTGAGACCCCCTCCTATCCTTAGAGTAGAAGGCGGGGAACTTGGTGTCTGTGAGGTTTAGCAAAAAAGGGAGCTAAGAGTAAACTAAGGAAAATGCATCTAGTCTTTGACTATTACAAAGAGAGTAAAGTAAAAATTAGGTGAATTAACTTGAAGAATGCTATATTAGAAAACCTAACTTATCTTTGTCTCACAAAATATCGTTTGCTAATTGTTTTATATGGCTATTTTTTCTCACCCTGCCCTGCCTGCTGTCATACTGAGAAAAGACAGTGTAATACAGAGTTAAAAGCACAAACTCTGGAAGTCAACTGTTTGGGTTTGAACCCTACCTCAACATTCATGGGCTGGGTAACCTTGGGTAAGTTACCTAGCCTTTCTGAGTTTTAGTTTCCTCATATGTAAAATGTGATAATGAGAGTATCTACCTCACTGAGTTGTTGTGAGTTCATGCATACCAGTACAGTGCCTGGCACCCAGTGAGCACTCAATCAGTGCTACCTATCATTAGTATTAGTTTTGTCTTTCTCAATATCAGTATTAGTATTGGTGGAAGTGGAGAGAAGTTTCCATGACCTACTTGTTTATGACAGCTGTCCACTTCTGTCCCTTCTCTGTCCCAAGAAAAAGTTAACACTAGATAGGGCGTCCAAGGCTGTCCCTAGATGAGTTGTAGGACTGTTTTTGTCATAATGTGGTGAAAACCTTGTCTATCCTTAGAAAAACTTAAGGTCTAAAGCTCTGTATAATTTCTGCGTGTGAACTCATGGGCTGATCGCATCTGGTGTCCTTCAGTATTCTGAATCACTGAAAGATGAGTATAGGTGGTCTTGGAGGCTAAAATAAATCATAGAAAGGCATTTTCTGGTGTTTGTATGTCTGTGTGTGTGAGAGAGAGAGAAAGAACAAGAGAGTGAGTATATGTAAGTGTTAGGGGAGGAGAATTCTTTCTCTGGAGGAGTTATTTGGAATCAATTATATGTATTTTGCCTTTTCTATTGGTGCCATCTGGTGCATCATCTTCCTTCTTATCCTCTTGGTTCCTTCTTTAGCACTTACGAAAGGCTTTCTCCCAAATTTTACCGACCAGGTCCTTGGGTCCAGCTGTCATCCTTTAAAATTGCCGCTGGAGGTAAGGGTTGAGAAGGAGTCTGCATTCTCTGCCAGTAGAACTTTACATTATAGTTTGTCAATTTTTTTTCTCTGCTTTTAATTGTATGCCCTCTTTTAGCATTTGTCGTTAATGAACTGGCCCATTCCTTGTCTTTCTCTGTCTCCAAGTGCTTTAGACAGTCACCTCTGCTAAAGAACACTCTATACCCCTCTGGGACAAAGACAATGCTATGGCTTCACCAACTCCATTTCCTTTCCTGTAGGTACATAGCTGCATTACGTTTCCCAGCTTATCTGAAGTTAGGTAGGCACCATGTGACTGAGTTCTGGCCAATAGCATGTGGGTGGAAGTGTAGTGTCTTAGTCATCTAGTGCTGCTATAACAGAAATACCACAAGTGGATGGCTTTAACAAAGAGAAGTTTATTTCCTCACCCTAAGTAGGCTAAAAGTCCAAATTCAGGGCATCAGCTCTAGGGGAAGCCTTTCTCTCTTTGTCGGCCTTCTCATCAATCTTCCCCCATACTAGGAGCTTCTCCATGCAGGGACCCTGGGTCCAAAAGACATGCTCTGCTCCCGGCACTGCTTTCTTGGTGGTATGAGGTCCCCCATGTCTCTCTGCTTGCTTCTCTCTTTTACATATCAAAAGAGATTGGCTTAAGACACTATCTAATCTTGTAGATTTCATCAGTATAAGCGCTGGTAATCCATTTCATTACATCACGGTGATAGGATTTACAACACCTAGGGAAATCACTTCAGATTACAAAATGGTAGATAATCATACAATACTGGGAATCGTGACCTAGCCAAGCTGACAGATATTTTTGGGGGACACAATTCAATCCATGACATATAGTAAACCATTTTCAGGCTTAGGCTCTGAAACCTTAACATGATCCTCTATGCTCTTTCTTTTCCCATTTGGCCATATGTAGAGGATCCACTGTAGATCTTAGGGACTCCCAAGATGGAGGAGCCACTAGATGGAAGGAGGCCTGGGTTACTGTGTGAATGTGTAGAGCAGAAGATTTTCCTTCACAAACAATTTGCATTGGACTCTGATGACAGTGAGAAATAAATCTTACTGGGT